TTTATAAAATTTGTACCTGGAAAATGTTCTTTAATTTTTAAAAAATTTTACTGTGTTTTTGTTTTATTTCTCTAACCTTCTTAATGATCAATCAAAAGCTGATGTCCCTGTTTTTTCTAACAGTTCTTTCAGTTTCACAAAATTGTAATACAAGTTTCCATGTACAACTTTTTTAAGTGTACAAATAAAGTAAATTGTTTTCTAAAGTATTCTGTAATTCTTACAAATCCAAATTGTACTTCCTTGTACGGGTCATACAGACCATTTTGTTGCTGTTGTTGTTGGGTACCATCAAGTCAGTTTTTACTCAACCTCAGGCACAAAGACATTTGCACTGTCTGATCCTAGGCGATGCTTAGAATCATAGACCATAGAAGCCAGTACTTTATTGTAATAAGTACGTATCTCTCTATACCTACTATTTGTATCTTTTTTCCTGCCAAAATCTTTGACAAACAAGCTGCCATCATCTGTCACAGTGATAATCTATTTCAGAGGTTTATTTGGGGAATGAGCCCTTTTCAGTTTCACTTCTTTCTCATAAATGTTGTTTTCTGGATTTATTTGCATGAATATGCTCATTTTTGCATTTTTTTATTTTTTTTATTATATTTTATTAATTTTCATAAACATTTACATTTTGCATTTTTTTAAATAGGAAAGATGGCATATAACTATTCAGTTAAATACTGCTCTGGAAATTTGGCAGGAAGATTTCATAGATTTGGAGTAGAAGACTTACGCGGGGTATCAGTTTTGTAGAAATAAGCATTTGTAGAGTACAAAAAGTGGGAGCAGGGCAGAGAGAGTCTTTATTTTCACATCTGAAATACAAATGATCCTGAGCAGTGCATTCTTATTTAGTGAGATTTGTTGGGAGAATTAGCCCTCTGTGGTTTCCTATCTTTCTCAAACACTTCACAATTAATAATTTTTGGATTCTGTGCTAACATATGAGCAAGAGCCAATGGTGATGAAGGAAGAAGTTCAAGCTGCTTTGAAGGAGATAGCAAAAAAGAAGGCCCCAGGAATAGATGGTATTCCATTTGAAGTATTTCAGCTAACAGATGCTGCCGTGGATGTGCTCACCAAGTTGTGCCAAGAAATCTGGAGAACAACCACTTGTCCAACTGGAAGAGATCTATATTTGTTCCCATTAAAAAGAAGGGTGACCCAACTGAGTGTGGAAACTACAGAACAATATCATTGATTTCACGTGCAAGCAAGATTCTACTGAAGATTATCCAAAAATGACTAGAACAGCACATCAGCAGAGAATTGCCAGAAGTCCAGGCTGGGTTTAGAAAGGGTCGTGGTACTAGGGATATTGTAGCTGATGTTAGATGGATCTTAGCTGAAAGCAGGG